TCTCTCTCTCTCTCTCTCTCTCTCTCTCTCTCTCTCTCTCTCTCTCTCTCTCTCTCTCTCTCTGTCTGTCTGTCTGTCTGTCTCTCTCTCTCTCTCTATCTCTCTCTCTTCTCTCTCTCTCTCTCTCTCCTCTCTCTCTCTGCTGTCTGTTCTGTCTGTCTTCTTCTCTCTCTCTCTTCTTCTCTCTCTCTCTCTCTCTCTCTCTCTCGCATCCTCTTGCTCTTCTCTCTCTCTCTCTCTCCCGACTCTCTCTCTCTTCTCTCTGTCCTCTCTCGTCTCTCTCTCTCTCTCTCTGTCTGTCTGTCTGTCTGTCTGTCTGTAAAGTAAAGCTATAGTTAAAAGAATACTTACTAAAGTTACTTACTATGATCGTCTATTTAGCCTACACAATAACGTAACGTGTTTTGCTGGTTCTTAGCATTCTACATACAATGCGTGCTATCGTTCTATTTAGCGTGTAATTGCAAAGCACTTTAAATGTGCTATCCGGGTATTTTTAACAGGGCGTGAGATTTCCGATATCAAATTTTTCCCAAGCTAGTTAGCTCATACTATACGGTAAAATAAATGTAAGCAGTTGATTACCAACGCAATGCCTCAGAATGATTCACTACATTATACAAACGCATCATACAACATTATAAATTATACTACATTATACAAACGCATTCACTACATTTATACAAAACGCATATACAACATTTATACATCATACGACATTATACAAACGCATTCACTACATTATACTCATACATTACATGATTAACAATTTAGTACTTCTAATAAAATTTAATGGTGCGTATACCAACGAACAAACTTGGCAGGTAGAGAAAGTGGAGGGAGAGGAGGGAGGTAGGTAGAGAGCAAGGGAGGGATGCAAGGAGGGGGAAGATTGAGGAGGGAAAGAAGAGTGCATGGGTGAAAGGAAGGAAGGATAGAGAGAGTGCGGGAAGGAAAGAGAGCGAGAGAGAGAGAGAGAGAGAGAGAGCTGAGAGCAGAGAGTAAAAGCAAGGGAGCGAGGGAGAGAGAGAGAGAGAAGAGAGAGAGACGAGCAGAGAGGAGAGAGAGAGAGAGAGAGAGAGAGAAAGAGAGAGCGATTAGACTTGGCCTATTTTAGACAGATTCGGGCAAATGGAATTCGACGTAATCATTCCGCGAACAACTACGTGTCTGGTATGCCCATAGGCCTACTTAGCGGGAACTGAAGGGTGTGCGCCTACTATCTGCATTATGAAATCATTACTAAAACATAAATTATGAGAATCATCACAAGCCTGTTTCGTACTGCACGATGGGGGGAGACTGTGTTTCGTTCGCGCGCCCTGACTCCTTAACATCAACTATTCGGGCCGCACTATCTGATAACACTGGTCGCGTCTCCTCCGGTGTTTTAGCCCACCACTGAACGTCTCCTGAAGCCAGCAGCATAAACGTGATCACTCCCAGCAGGCCGACACACAATGATATCCAAAATACGATCTGCCATTCTTGTTTCGTTTGCTAGAAGACAACGACAGAGTGCCTTAAATTAGTGGCTGTCTATTTAGTGTGTTAAGCCATCTAGACAAAATATTAATTTTATATTAATATAAGTTTTAAATGAACTTGTTGCTGGTCGTTATACTCCACATTTTATATACCATCCCATGAAATTGCGTTAAATGATCGCAGAGTCGTGCACATGATTAACGTTATCAAGACTAGGTGATAGATCTAATCATATTATCTTGATTTTATACTCGGTATTAAATACAACGATTGCCATTTTATCTTGCAATGAATTATATTTCGGCATAAAATACTCACGTTTTTAGTTACAATGCTAATGAGATAAGGCGTCAAAATTCCTGCGATTGTTGTGACAGTATTGGAAATCCCGAATATTATACCACCATATGCTGGCGCGATGTCAACCATATTAGGAAAGACGGCGGTATAAGAGAATCCAAATAAACCTTGACCAACTACCAAGAGCACGATGAATATCTGCTTATGGTTGCAGCCAAGGTAGCCGCTACCCACCAACAAGATTGGTGGCGCGAGGCCTGCAACAGATTTTGTCAAGATTAGTGGATCTGAGAAATTAAAGCACTGGAGGTAGCGTTGATTCAGACGTTACACTTGTTTCGCGAGATAACTCTGCTGATAAAATAACTACATAACTGGATTCTATAGTTTCTCACACATGTTAGATATTTTAAGGATTTAATAATAGTTCCTTTAACGTTAAAACGTGCGAGATTTACTTGAAGGTTTGGTATGTATATCTCGTGTGGAAGTGCATGGTAAATACATTTTCTTTCACATTTAACTAGTTCTAATTCGGTTACAGATGAGAAAATACCAGATTCATGCATGCGGCATCTGGCGTTGCAGTTCACGCACAAACGCAAATACACGCACGCACGCACGCACGCATGCACGTGCACAGACACAGACACGCGCGCACACACACAAGCGCACACACGCACATACACATACTATCTCTCGCTCTCTCTCTCTCTCTCTCTCTCTC